TCAGATGCAAACAAGTTGCTCAGTGAAACAACAACCTATTTTGTGATATGGAAGTATCCCATAATAATTTTAGTGTGGCCAGTTATTATGCCACAAATTGCAAAATGCTATTTGCGTACATGCCAAGGGCCCAAGAGACCTTCAGGGTTGCAAGAAAGAGGCTTTTCAGTAATGGTGAAAAAAGAAAAACAAAAATATTGTGCAAAAAAATAAAGAGCATATGACTGAGGGTGACTATGGCAGAACAGCGCAAGTGTCAGGGATAAACATGGAAGATTAAGTGATGTGAAAAATCAGTATCAGCTAGCAAGGGATAACAGAGACAAGAAAAGGAGAATCAGGGATTAAAAGTAAGAGGGAAACAGAGTGAAGTCTATTACTAAATGGGAAAGAAGAGCAAACATGAGGCAGAGGGTTGCAGTATTTGTTTCAGGCTTCAAAAGTGGGCTGTGACCAGATACTTAACAAAACTAGGTTTCAGGAGGAGATGGGAAGAGATGAAAAAGAACAAGGTAAAGAACATTTAGATAATGCAGAGGAGTTTGAGCTGTATTATCTAAATGTTCTTTACCTTGTTCTTGTTCTTTTTCATCTCTTCCCAATACAGAGGAGTTTGAGCTGGCAGGGCCTGATGACATTCATCTCGGAGAGCTTAAGGAACCAGCCGAAGTAACCTCTGAACCGCGTGATTAGCTTTCAGAACACTCAGAGGACAAAGGAGGTTGCAGAGGCCTGGAGACAGCAAATGTAGAACCTACAGTTAAAAAAAGAGAAGAGGATGTCTTATGGAATTATGGGTCAGGCAGTGTCACTTCAACCCCAGAAAGGTTCTGGAAATATTGAAAACAATCTGCTGCTTCTTAGGAGGGATTAAAAACAAGAAAACATCGTGTGACGGGTGTCTGCATTCCCACTCTGTCCTACTCCACTGAGCTGTTTCCACTCTCCCTCATTGAGCTGCTACACACCACAGCCCTTTTCCTTGACATGCAGCCTTTCCTGCCAGTCATAGGTTCACCAAGAGAGCACCTCAGACCTCTCATTGAGGGGAATGAGGGTAGCGGGATTTGTGCCTGCTCTGCTCTATTTGTATGGCTGTAAGTATTGACTCATCCCCAGCTTCAGAATCCCTGGGCCTCTACCACCCACAATCTTCCACGTTTAACACACACACTGCCTCCCTGGGTTGTCCCATCCAATACTGAGGAAGAACCAAGCCAGCTGCTGCTTGACCATCCTCTACTGAGGAAGAACCAAGCCAGCTGCTGCTTGGGAGAGTTCATTTTTTTGTTGGGCACTGCCTGTCTCTGTATCATCTGGCTGGGGAGTGCTTACCCCTTCAGTTTCCAATTCAGTGTTACTCCTTTCCCAGTTTGTAAACCTTCTCTAGAACCAGCAGTCCAAGTTTGAAAGAGACCACTACCAATTTTACTCTTGTTCCTAGTCCTCTACTCCAGGAGCTGGCAACCTACAGCCTGCAGGCCGGATCTGGCCTACAAAGGGATTTTACCCAGCCCCGGGAGCCAGATTGTCAAAGGCAATTTATTGGCAATTTGAAAGTGCTTTGGTAGCAAGGGAAGTGGAACTTAATTGGAGGTTTTTAATTCTGCCTCTGTTGTGAGTTGGGCTAGATCAGAGTGGCCAACCTACAGCATGTGGGCCACAAGTGGCAGGGAAACTTGTATGTGTGGCACTGAGAAGATCAGAGAGGATAAGCAACATAATGGCAGATGCAGAAGGAAGCAGAAAGCAGAGCAGCAGACTGGGCAGGGGAAGGGGATTGGAGTGCTATTCAGAGAAGGTGTGGGGCTAACCAAAAGGCTGACCCCTCACTGGACTAGATGATAATGAGGCTCTTTCCAACCCTATATTGATACAGTTCTTTGAAATTTGGGAAAAGGCAAGGTAGAGATGCGTCTCTGATTCAGTTAGTCTATAAGGGGTGACCAACCTATAACACATACAGCCTCTGTGTAGCACGTAGCACATTTGGGAGGGATCAGAAAACACATCAACAGATGGGGCAGGAAGCATAAAGCAGAGCAACAATTGGGCAGGGAACACTGCATGGAACAGAAAGCATAATGGCAGATTAGTGACACTTAGGGAAGGTTTACCTTGTGGCACAACTTCCGAAAAAGTTGCTTCCCGCCCCACCCAGTCTATGACGTGCATCTCTACCCTGCCTGACTTCAGACTAAGGCAGCTAATTACTGCTGATGTTCAGGAAGGGTACAAGGTACTCCCAGCCAGCCTTAACTCTGCCTTAATGTGGTCTTTGGGCAGTACAGTTTCATGATGAACTGTTAGAACAGTGGCTCTCAACCTCATTAGACTCAAAGCATCCCTTGGGAAAATGCCAGTTTTTAGTTCTCACTCTTTTTTGGACTGCAGTAAAATGAGAGAGCATTTTTTTCTGTTGCAAAGAATTCAGACCACAACAGGACACAATGTTTTTAAGACTATGAGATGCCTATTTGAAATCTCTGGGGTTTATCTTGTAAATCATGTTTATACACCTAACACTAACATTGTATGGCATCCTGCACCACCCTTGAAAGGATCTCAAGACATCCCTGGTCAGGGGTGACACATAAGGGGTGCATGCGGGTTCACGTGCACCCCCTACAAAAAGGTGCTGCCAACCTGAGGGCAGTTGCCGCTCACCACCATCACCACTGGCGGCGTCTTTGGGTGGTCAGCGATAGCCGCTGGCCATCGCCGACACTGACACTGCTGGCGGTGTCTGCAGGTAGTCACCAACCTCTGGTCGGCGCTTGCCACCTGCCCCACCACCAACAGCACTGGTGGTGTCTGCAGGAGCTCCTGCTTACCACTGCTGCATTCCTGATGCCTCTGTGCCCCCCCCTTCCCCCCCCACCCAGCCAGCCTCCGGGGGCACGTGTCGTTCATGTCCCTGGTTGAGTCGCTGCATTACAGCCTAGTGATAGTGTAAGAGTTATGCAGTTGTGATAGACCAGAAATTATGCAAGAAGCAAGGATTTCTTAGGGTGATTTTTTTTTTTTTTTTTTACTGGACCAAATACGTAGCTGGGACAAAGCCTACTGTAGCAAAGCAGGGTGTTATTGCTCCAGTCCTGACCACTGATCCCTCTGCTACTCCAAAAAGTCTTGCATTGGAAAGCTTGTCTACCTGTATTCCAAACTACATAGTTGGTCCAATAAAAGATTTCACCCTAAGAAATGCTTGCCTTAGAGCCTAGTGGGCAGAATGTGGGAGTGATGCTCAGGACATCTGCATTCTAGTCCCGGCTCTGCCACCGCTCATCTGGGGCTCATCTCGGCTGATTCTCTTTCCTACCTGACAAGGAGCTCTGCAAATAAAGAGCACAAGGTGTTGTTATCATAGCTGGCTTGTGAAAGGGAAGAGGACATAGCACAAGAACTGGGCTTACTTGCCTCAGGACACACTGCCCACCAGGGACTCAGGCTAAGTTTCTCAGCCCTATGCCATGGGCCTACCTGGAGGTGTCAGGAGTCCCACAGGCAGTTAAACCCAGTCTCCCCACAGCACAGCTGCACTATGGCACTTGAGCCCCCAGTACACCCCCTGCTACCTGTGTACAGCCCTGCTCTTCTCATACAACCGTGTCCTTAGGAAGGCTATAGAAGGTACACAGGGTGTCTGTGGAAGAGGATCTTGGAAAGTCTAGAACATAAGAATTGCCATTTACTGGGTCAAACCAGAGGTCCATCTTGCCCAGTATCCTGTGTTATACAGGGACAGAGGGTAGATGCTGAAAGGAAGAGCAAAATAGGAATACCAGGGTTTTACCGTTCCTCTCTCACTTGCAGCCTCCAGCACTTAAGGTCTAGGAAGTTCCGATTCAGGGGCCATGCCCCTCACTCCCATGCTCAATAGCTGCGGATGCCCCTTTCCTGCAATAATTTGTCCAATCCCCTTTTTAATCTACCTAAACTCTGTTTCTACCACATCTGAAGGCAACGAGTTCCACACTTTACACGCTGTATGAAAAGGAATTTCCTTTTGATAGTTTTAAACTGACTACCTACTACTTTCATGTTGTGACCCCTAGTTCTTGTATCGGGAGAGGGAGTCGATAATCCCTATTGACTCTCTCTTTGCCATTTAGTATTTTGCAAACCCTCCTCATGTCTTCCCCTCCATCGTCTCTTTCCTAAACTGAACAGACCTGGCCTCTTTAGTCTCCCTCCATACCACTCATCAACTTTGTCCTTCTCTGGACCTCCTTCAGTTCTTCTGTCTCCTTTCTGAGGTGCTAACAAGGCCGGAACTGGGCATAGGATTCAAGGCGTTGATACACCGTGCATTGATAGAGGCAGTGATGCTATTTTGTTCACAATTCCCGTAATAATCTCTAATCTTTTGTTTGCCTGTTTGAGGGCTGCTGAGCCACGAGCTGATGCTTTTTGTCACCTGTCCACAGTGACTCCCAGATCTCTTTCCGGTGTGGTAACAGCTACCGTAGAGCCCATCAGTCTCGGTGGAGTTTGGGTTATTTTTGCCCCTGTGCATCACTGCACACATCAACACTGAGTTCAATCTGGCATTTAGTTTCCCATCTGCTCAGTCTGCGCTCCCGCCCCGTGCCCACAACTCCCCCTCAGGCAGAGGGGCAGCAGCCATCTTGGAAGGTCGTGCCGTGGCCGGGGGAAAAGGGTTGACCACACTCCCAAAATGCTTCGTATCACCCCCTTCTGCTTCATCTGTGATGCCCAAGATGGCGGCGGCTCACCTCCAGCCGCTCAGCGTGTCTCCAATGCGATCCAATCACGGCGGGTCTTGCCTTTGATGGACGAGCAGGAGCAAGGATCCTGGCCAATGAGAAAGCTTAGCCAATGAAAAAAAAAAGGAAGGTATCTGAGCCAATAACATAATTTGGACAGCCGCCTCGAAGCAGGCCCCTTGACCAATGGAAGAAAGAGGGAGGGGGGCTTCTTGAGAACGCCAGCCAATGGAGGCCAGCTCGGGCGGGGCTCCGCAGCACGTCCAATAGGGTGTGCCGGGGCTAGTACCTGATGGCGGCGGCGGCCAATAGGGTGTGGGCGTAGGGAGCCTGCGTGGTGAGCACCCAGCCGTGCACTGCGGAGCCGTTGGCTGGGGCGAAGGGAGACATGGATCAGGGATACGGAGGTGGGTAAGGGAAGGAGCTGAGCGGAGCCCGGGGCGCTCGGCGAGTCGCGGACACCGGGACCCCCTCCCGCGCCTCAGCAGTGTTTCCCCGGGGCCGGGGAGCGGGTCGGCTTACGGTGTGAGCAGGCCCGCCTCCCGGGTGGTGGTGGCGGCGCTGATTGGCCCTCGGCCCCGTCCGTCTTCAACAAGGTTCTTGGGATTGGCGTGCCACCGCACGGCGCTGGGTGAGGGTGGGGGTGAAACGGCTGCGCTGGTGGGGGCGCGGGCGCTGCGGAGGACGTGGGGGTTGGGTTCGGCTCCACCCCCCTCCCCCTCGCCCCGAGCGGAAATGGAGCGAGTCCCATTTCTGAAGACGACACAAAATGGCGGCCGGGCCGCCCCTCCCCCTTCCGCGCCCACTCGCCGGCTGCTTATGGCCTGCGCTCCCCCCCTCGGGCTTCCCGCGCCTCGGCCGGGCACCTCTAGCACTTGCACAGGCCCTCCCCCGGGGACAGGCCGAGCCACTGAAAGGTGCAAGCGCCAAGCTGGGGTGGAAGAATCGGCTTTCCCTGGGGTGGGTGGTCAGTGCAGTCGAGGTGCTCTCCTGGTGGGGAGAGCTGGCAGCTAGGATTTCCCACAGAGCTGCTCCCCTTGGAGCCAGTGACCCCTGCTGATGCATGGTATCCCAGAGAGGTAGGGCTGGAAGGTCATGTTGGGTCCGTCACTGCCAGAGGCAGGGTCTGCCCTGTCCAAACCATGCAATACAGTCTGCTAGCCAAACTTATTGTCAGTCCTGATGCAGCATGGACCTAATAGGAGATGCGTTCTGGCTTGTCCTGTTTGCTGAAGCAAGCCAAAGCCTGCTATAACGGAGCAAGGGGTTGTGGCTCAGTCCTGATGCCTGATCCTACCACAAGGCTTCAAAGCATGTTGATTCCTGTGCACTCATCTCATCTGCTCTGTCCTGCTAGGATAGCAGTCTTTACGCTGTCCTCTAACAGCACTGCCTCTTTAGCATGGCTTGCATACAGTACAGTAGTTCAGCCTAATGAGACTTAAGGTGGTTCTTTATTCCCGGTTCTGAGTTACTTCTCCAGCCTCTTTAGCATGGATCCCATACTGCCTGGTTCACCAGCCCCTCAACACGCTAGGGTTTGAACCATTACGTGTGCCAAACATGATGTTTATTCCATAAAGCCATTGCCACTAGATGTGAAACCAAGATGTATTTTGAAGGAGGGAAACAAGGTCCTGAACAGATCACTGTTAAGTTTCTGGTAGTTCTGTTTTTGTTCCTGAGCTGTTTGTTGACTTCTGAATGTACTAAGATTATGCGTGAAAATCTCACAGATTAATCAATTTAGTGACAGAATAGGCCAGATGGCACTACAGAATGCTGTTTTTAAACAGGAACCTTTTTGCCAGTTGCTTTTTAATTTGTATTTATTTGCTTATTTGTTAGCTAAATCTCTCTCATGATAACAGTAAAAAACCAGTAAGTGCATTTTAGAGACAGTTAAAGCTAGAATTAATTATGGAAGCAGGTTTTGCATCCCAAAATTAGTATTATTGTCAAAACCGGGAGCAGCTACTCTTTATTTATATTAATAATCTAGTAGAATAAAACTTTAATGTTAGCTCTTCCTTGTTTCGTGAATCTAAACATTAAAGCAGAGATACACAAAGTAAGCATTTTAGTCATTTTTCATCCAAATGGCAAACCACGAGCCACTTCCTAGTATCAGATGATACTAGGAAAAAAACCCACCTTAGATGCATCATTCCAAACACTAATAGTCCTCTTGATTTTTGGTTGTTTGATTGGGTTGGTTTTGGGTTGATTTTTTTTTGGGGGGGTTAACCTGTATATTTCTCAGTTAAATGTAATCTGTCCATAAACCATTTTAAGAATTGCAGCTCTCCTATCCTGAATTACCCATTAAATGTTTTTATGGATATTATGACTCATATTCTGGCAGTGCTTTGGATAGACAAATACACCCTTCATATGAAGTTTCTTAAACTTATTCTCTAATCTGTTTGGCAAATTTTGGAGTCTCCTTAATTCAGACTGTGTTTCTCTGGAGATGGACTGATTTGTATATAGAAGTTTCATCAAATACAGCTTTCAGCATATATGGTTTATACCTAGAATCAATTGCCTCCTACTGTGGTGCCATTCAGAATACTGCCTTAAGCAAAGCATGTTTTGCTTTCTTGTAACGTTTGCCAAGGAGCTCAGATAGAAAGGTGTGATGAAAGCAGACCACAGTTCACTTAGCATATTGTCTTTGGTAGTATGGCTGAATTTGGTGGTGGATATTGTTTACACATGCAACTTACCTGCCTTCTGTAAAACTGGAGAGGCAGTCATTGAAGTAGGATTTAGGGCTTGGACTCTAGCTGGTTAGGCTGTTTCTGGCTTCTGACTCAGAGGTTTTCTTAACCATCTATAAAAATGGTTTTGATGTTTAGCTAAAGTTTCCAAAAATTTGGGTTGGACACACTGCAACATTGTACTCTAAAACCTACTGCTGTAAGGCAAGACAGGGTGGCACCTTATAAACTAATTTGTTCATAATTAGTCTAGAAAGTGCCACTTGCTCTGCCTTCTGCCCATCTTCATGCTACCACAGCTAACTACCTTTCTTTATAAGCTAATAACCTGAATAAAAATTCAAGTACAGGCAGTCCTCAGACTTGCAACACAATTGGTTCTTGAAAACCGTGTCTTAAGTCTAAACGTTGCAACTCTGAACCGATTTTCCCATAGGAAACAATGTTATAAATGGGGAATTGGTTCCTGAACTAAGGCCCCGATACCCTATTTTCACCAAAAATAACCCAGTTTTATACTCGATCAATTATAGATGAATATATAGCTACATGAATGTATTTATATTGTAAATAGCAATTGTTGATTTGGAAGAACTTCTTTGAGGTGACTTGGTTGGACTTTTGGAAGGGCTCTTGGCTGGAGTCTTCTCAGGAGTCTTGTCTGCAGGTTTTTCTGGAGTCTTGTCTGCTTTCTTAAAGAAAGTGTCCAAGGAAGTTTAGACAGATGTTCTCCAGGCAGGTGGATCCTGGTGTGCTGTCGGATCACACGTTGTAAAGTCGAAACTGATGTCAGAAAGTTGAAATGGTGTCAATTTATAAACGTAAGTGCGAAATGTTGTAACTTAAAACGTTGTAAGTCAAGGACTGCCTGTACCCTTATAATTTTACAAATTTTAGGTATTAATTTTAACATCAGATTTACTAAAACCAGCCTTTACTTCTGACTCCTTCCTTTTTCAATTTAATAAAAAAACAGTTTTATTTATAGTTTTTGCCAAAATAATACAATAAAAAGAATAACATTATATATAATAAACTATTAGTAATAATAAAATATAACAATAAATTAATACTGTTGCTTTTATTGTTAACGGAAAACTGAAAATTCGACAGGCTGCTTTTTCACCTTGATGTATGTATGATCTGTCTCAAGAATCCTGTCCTTTATAGTGTAGAGAATTAGATCCATAGGTGGTGCATGAATTGAAGATACAAACTTAAATATTTTGGAAGTGTATCATATGAGAAGTTCTGCCCTCAGATGTAATCCTGGCTTTACTGAAGTAAACAAGTTCTTAACAAGTTTTTAATAAATTTGTCACAAGCATTTGACTTCGACTCCATTACACCACTGCTTCCAAACCTTAATCTGTTGAATTAACAGCAGTCATGAAACTGAGAAGCGTGCTCCCGGTTTGCATACAATAGCACTCACTTTAGCTGCTTCCAGATTTAATTCAGAGGTGCAGTCTGTAAAGACAACAGATTCCAGTGCAAAGCAGTCTGGTCATTTTGACCAAGGTTGTGTTCATAGATTGTAGAGTCAGAAGGGACCATGAAGGATTGTTGTGTCTGGCCCCCTGCCCCAGGCAGGAAAGAGCGCTGAGGTCATACGACCCCAGCCAGGTGTCTATCTAGCCTCCTCTTGAAGACCTCCAGGTTAGGTGAGAGTACCACATCCCTTGGCAGCCCGTTCCAGATTCTGGCCACCCCTACTGTGAAAAATTTCTTCCTAATGTCTATTCTCCACTAGTTTGTACCCATTATTCCTAGTTACTCCTACAGGTGCCCTGGTAAATAGCACATCTCCAATTCTCTGTTGTCCTCCCTTGATAAACTTGTAGGTGGCTACAAGGTCACCCCTCAGCCATCTCTTGTGAAGGGTGAAGAGATCCAGATCCCTCAACCTCCCGTCATAGGGTCTTGCACGGAGGCCACTAATCATGCGAGTGGCCCTCCTCTGAACCCCCTCCAGATTCTCCGCATCCCTCTTGAAGTGCAGCTCCCAAAACTGGACACAGTACTCCCAACTGCGGCTTGACCAATGCCGCATAGAGTGGGAGCATCACCTCCCTCGATCTGTTGGTTGTGCATCTGCTAATGCACGACATGGTGCGATTGGCTTTGTTGATGGCTTTGTTACACTGCCGGCTCATGTTCATCTTGGAGTCAGCTATGACTCCAAGATCCCTTTCAGCTGCTGTTCGTTACAGCACTGAATAGTCTGCAGACTGTACTTGCATATCGGATTTGAGGATGACTCTAAGCTGTGTTGTGGAACTACCGAGGCACTCTGTGGTCTTCCACATTGTGTATATTCTAAGCTTATCAAGAAAGCAACTTTTTTTTACATTTTATATGAAGTGCCCCCAGTTTAGGGTTTTCTAATGTTTCATGCTTGAGCTGATTTCCCTTGCTTTTGTTCTACAGCAGTGTGGTCCAGGGCACAGGGGAGTAGTAAGCTCAGGAGTTGTGGCCTGGGTTCTGTTATTGTCTTCACTTTGAACTGCTGGGTGAGAGGAGAGGTGAACCACAGAGGCACATCACTTCCCCTCTGACTCTGTATTCAGTCCTGCTGTTTGTCCTCTCCCCTTATTTTATAAATGCTTTGGTTGAGAACGTGTTTTTGCAAGGTATGTAGTACAGTGGATCAGGTGGGGGCTGTAGGTTTAACCCAAATACAAATTTGATCCTTTGACAGTCAGTGTGTGTCTGTTACAGTTTTAATGGGATAAACTAAACTATTAAACTAAAATTAATGGTGGTCTGTGCAGCTGTCAAAGCTTATAGGTGTAAAGTGCTATCATGTTTTTAAAAAACTTGCTTATTTCAACTAGATTTAAATTTTCCCCGTGCTATCCTGTAAGTATCTTAAATATTGCCGCCAAGTGGTAGCATATAAATAAAACTGGAAAATGAAATGGCTGCTGAGCAAAAGTGAAATGGAGCAGTGTGTTCAAATATAAGCATGTGAAAGTAAACACTTCCTTTGTAACTGAGATCTCATTTTGAAAACATTCTTGCCCATGACTCCTGACCTTGCTATTTTTGTTTTGCTGTAGTGTTTGTTACCACACACTCTACAGTAGCCTTTAGAGAGAGATTTCTTTCCCTGTTCCTGTTATAATTATACTATAAATTATGGCACTTTTCACTTGCTGAACTCTTCTTGTCCAATAAAACCTAGTGTCTCTGATTTCCCTTAGTTAAGTGTCAGCGTGTGTCATAACTTGTAAACTTTGCAACCAAATCTGTTTAATTTAGTGAATCCTTCATCAAGAGGTGTGGACTTGTGGGACCAGTCTGCAAAATGAAGCACAAAATGTGCAGCTCAGTGGGAGAGAGGGCAAGCCTTTCATGGCTATGTACCCTTACAGCAGTGTGGAAGCACTATTTCCATCTTAGAAGTTTTGGAAAGAGGGGTGAAGTCCAGATTTGAGGGCAGTGAAACTTTTATTTTAGGGTGAAAACTGCATTAGCTGGTTTGAAATTTCCATATAGGACTAGTAGCCCAAAAGAAATAAAAGGAAACCAATATTTTGCTGCTTCTCCCTACAGTCACCAGAATCTTGCACGATACCGGACTTGCCTGAGTGCACCTGGCTTCAGCAGGGATTGGAGCGTTATGGCCAGCATGCTCCTTGAGTCTGGGTAGTAGTTGTTCTGCTTTTAATACGAGACTTGATTTTCAATCGGAGGAGATGAAGGGTCACCGTAGTGGCTGAGTCATCAACTTCAGGAGTTCTTGTCCAAAGCTGGAATGCCATATACTATGCTGATACAGACCACAGAAGTGTAAGAGTATCAGCCATGTTGATACAGTTTTGCTGCTAGAGCTGCATCTGTGCTGGTTTAAACCAGTTAAGCTCTCTCTCTCTTTTAGAGGTCCTGCCTTTCTACCATCCGTGATCAACAGAACTATACCAGCAGAAGTCTATCATGTAAAAATAGCCTTTGGAGAATTATAATTGCCAAGATGCACTCCACAAAAACGGTGTTTTTCCCCCCTTTAAAATACAGTTCTTTGGAAATTTATTTATTTAGACATTTATATTTAACAAAGCATCTGTCCAGTGCTACAGATACCTTTGCCAAGTAATAACAGTATCAGTGCAGACTCAGCTCTGTCCCTAAAACCAGTAAAAGGAAAAAAGTAGGGGGAGGGAGAAAACCCTTGTCAGCCTCTTTACTACATAAAAGTCTGGAAAAAGACTAGCCTTTCCCCAAAATAACATTCCTATTTCTCTTGCAGGTTATGGCACCTGGAATACAGGGGCCACTAATACACAAGGTAAGTCTGGTGCATATATGAGGTTTAAAGTAGGGAACTGCATTGTTATAACATAGCTTGTTTCTTGTGCCTTTTTTCCCCAGTAACTGATAGTGTGGTTTCGCCCTCTCTCTCTCTTTTTTTTTTTTTTTTGGCTTGTAGCTTTCATCCTCTCTTGCCTCAAATTGAATAGCTTTTTCAGTACTGTTTAGTTGAGCCTTTTGTGGAATGGTTTTGATTCTGTGCTGTGGCCTTTTATTTCCCCATCTTATATCAGAGGCTTATTTTTCAGACCTAGTCCTCAATCCATCTTAGGCACATGCCTACTTTTATGATATGATACTACTTGGGTACTAAGAGGCAAGCATTTGTGAAAGTTGTTCCCAGCACAGGGCAATTCTTCGACTTGTTTATATAATTTGTTCCCAATGCAGGCTAAGAAGATTAAAAACAGGATTTATTTTTAGTTTAAATTGTGGTCCTTTTGGATGTGATTAGCCAAATCGGAGCTAAAAACCATGTGTTGAAATTGGAGTTGTTACAGCTGCATTCTAACTTCCTAAGGCTTTTCTTGCTTAGCCTCTACCAAGTAAATTTTGAACTAAGGTGTGGTTATGACATAGTCTGATACTTCAGCATTTGTTTTCTGTGGGTTTCTTCCTTTGAGGTGATGATAGTAGTAGTAGATGACCAGCTTCTGGTGAATATGGACTAGAGGTAACTGTTATAATTAGCATTCATTAAAATGCAAAAATATGTCCTTTTGAACCACAGATTGGAAATGTAGAAAGACTGCTTGTTTTTAAGTGTATGGCAAGAGTGTATCAGCCCTCAAGTCTTAGGTCAGACATTATTTTTATTGCCTCTCTTAATTTATAAAAGGAAAATAACCTATACATGGTACTAATATTTTCCATTACTAGTTATCAATTAGTAATTTATAGAACTTCTAAGAGCAACTTCTTTCTGCTCTTATACAAAAAATAAATCTTTTTGCTATCTTTAAACTGTATTGCATTCATTTAGTCTTTGAAGACAGAATATCACTGCCTAGTATGTCTGATGTTGGATTAATTTTTTTTTTCTTTTTATCTCATTAAGGCACATATACAGCAAACACAGCAAGTTGGCAAGGTATGTTTTATAAATGCGTTACCTTTGTGTTAAACCAGAATTAACTCCTTGAGTTTATTGCAATACTTAAAGCTATTCTTCAAGTCAAGATTTGTCTACATGCAAAAGCAAGTGTGCAGTAAACAGGCACCAGACTTGGAGCACACTGCCTACCCCTCGCTGACTTCCCATTTGAGTGTAGTTATGCACAGGAAGTGCAAAGTAGCTTACAAGATAGAGCCCTCAGTTATTTTTACCATGTTCTGTGATTCTGTGCTGATTATTTTTGCTAAACAAAGGGGCTGTTCTGGCTGGAGATCAATCTGTTTTCAAAATAAGCCAGCCAGAAAAATTAGCTCAGGGATTAGGGTTAGACGTTCATACATTTATTTTTTTGGCCATACTTCTTGTTTAGCTCCGTAAAGCAGGCAATGTGCACATGTAGAGAGCTGTGAGACTGGATACCAGGTCCTCCCCTTAAAACCTCAGGTTATGCTCTTGCATGAAATGACACCTTAATTATAGACTGAATACAGCTGTGCCTACCTGCTTATGTTGCTGAAGGGTTGGTCTTCACTTCTGCAGTGAGCTCTTCTACTGGGTTTAGAATTTAACCTTTCACACTGGATTGATACTTAATGCAATGGGCCTTCATCTAGAATATATTTTTAAAGCTAGTTTTCATGTGTTCAATTGGGCTGCTTAATATACCATTTCTCTAGCCATCGTTTGAAAAACTAGGCCTGGCATCGCACACTGGGCTGTAGCTCTAGTTTCAAACCGGGGGTCAAGTCATTGGCAAACGTGAGTTTTTCTTCTTCTATCACATGTATTAGTCTAATGTTAGTGAGCCCAAGTCATGGCCTTGGCCACCCTTGCATTGAGCAGTGTGCAGCACAAAACTGAAAAACAGTCCGTGCTTACAAGCTAAATAAAAGCAGAAGACAGCAGATGGATACAGCCAGATGGGGAAGTTCAGAGAAACAATAAGACAGTGTAGGTCAGCACAATCAGCAGTGGTATCAGTGCACCAATGGCCTTAACTGTTGTCAATTTTATTGTAGGCATCACGGCAAAGGAGAATTATGAGGGATCTTCATGGCAGATTTGGCAGTCATATTACGAGAGCCCTAGGACTGACATAGCAAAGGGTATGACAGGTCAGAAGCAGCAGCGGAAGAGCTGTGAGAGGAAGCTTGCTTTTTAGCACAGGGCTCAGAATGCATTTTCTCTCCCGAGTGAGCACAGCTCTGGGTGGTGGTCCAATGCACAGCCTGTAGCGCACTGGCAGGGGAGGGTGTCATGCTACTACAAGAATCCTTTGGCACGTGCACATCCCATGTCCTTTTCTGGGTTTGTATCGGCAGTAGTAGTGCCCAGTAGTGACACAAGCATAGTTGTAGTGCATTGCTTGTTCTTTAGCATTGTGATACCTTGCCACAAGGTGTCTGGCTTTATGGTATTGTCCAAATATAAAGTACTATTTCATATTTTCTCTTTTGATCTGCTAAATTCTGTCAGAGTTGTATTCATTGTTCTTGGACGCATGGTTACAAGCCCATGAGCATGATTCTTATAAACTTTAGTTTAACTTCTTTGGAGTCATGTTAGATGGCTAACCCAAATAGGCAAAGTAATACTCAACTTTGCAAATAAATAAATAAAAAAGTGGGGTGGGCTTCTCTCTTGTTCTTCCCTTCTCTCTCACCAGTTGAAACCAGGCTGGACAAAGCCCTGAAATAATAGTTGCATGTTGTTCCTTGAGAAATGACTGATTTAAACCAAGAAATTTCTGTAATTGTAAGAAACTATTTCCTCAGGGTGAAGCTGACAGTTTTATTTTGTTTTCATCAAATAGCAAAATCCAGCTGCAACCTTGACTGGTAGAGTCCAGTAGAATCCAGACACTCACCATAAATCTCCATTTCAGTTATTCTGCATTAACATTTATTTTTCTTTTCTGCAAGGCTATGAAAACTATGACTATTATGGCACTCAAACAAGTGCTGCAACATCAGCAGCCACATACAACTATGCTGCAGCTCCTGCTACCACCACAACCTGGGAAACCCCCAAAGCTACCGATATGAGCATGACAGCTGATGTCAGCAGCGCTATGCCAGTTGCATCTTACAGTACGGAGACTGTGACTAATGAAAACTCTGACTCCATCATAGCCAAAATAAACCAGCGCCTGGATATGCTGTCAAAGGAGGGCAGTGGCGGAACTGGGGAAGGAATAGAGGATCAGGAAAGGTGACATATGCTGCTCTTGTTTCTCAGAGAAATTAAGTTTGTACTTTAATTACTGTAATTTCAAATTAACCTTGACGCTTTATATAGCAACAAGAATGGCTAAACAGCCATTTACCTGACATTTTCCAATTGGTTTCTCTGTTCAGAATTTGTTTGTGTATTGTTAGCAGCTCCCTCTTTAGTGAACATGAGAAGCTGAAATAGGCATTCAGTCTCCAACCATAGTTTTAAGTGCTGTAGGTTCTCTCTTACTGCCTTGTGATCTAAACGTGATAACTACATCAGTCAGAAGAGAAATTCTAGACGTTGGCTTTGTTACTCAAGCAGTAACATAATCAAGACAGCAACTGTGGGCTGAATGAATGAAGTATAATCTTTCTCTGATACTGATACCTGCTGCTCTGTCAGCCTTGATACTGATTGGTTTATCTGCCTTAATTCCATACCAGCCAAGAACTTTCTTTTTTTGAATTGCTTATAATTGCTACTGAGTTCCTCCTGCTATATCAGGAACATAAGGAGCATGTTGGACTCCCTGAGTTTTGTGTCTACAGCAGCAAGACATGAGAGTGCTTGGGGCTCTTTATCTCAAGAAGAGACTCCTGCTTTTATTCTCCTTCTGCATGTAATTTATTCTCAGGCTAATTTTTTACACTTTTGGAGCTGCAATGCTGTGCCAGGGCTTTCTGTGGGCTAGTAACTTTTATCTTGGACATGCTGACAGTGAAAGTCTTTCAGCTGTACTCTGCATGGAATTAAGGTAGATTTTTTTTTTTTCCTGACTGAGATGCCAGCAAGTACCTACTTGGAAGGGATAAAAATATGAGCAGGATATTAGCGTTAACTTTATCAAATATTTATGATCAAACATGTTTGATCAGAAATATGACTTTAAAATATGTTGTGGGGGGGGGGGGAGGGTTCCAGTTACCCTAAGAGTAAGGACAAGGTGCAGTTAAGTTTTTATTCAGTAAGATTCTGAGCATTTTTGGTTCATTCTTGGTATCTTGATCCTGGTTTAGATCCAAACAAAATGGGTGTGAATTTCTTTAAAGCATTTAAATTTGGTAGAGCCACACCTCTTATTAGTTGCTGATTGGATTTCTTGTTTGCTGTGAAGTTCTTTCAGGTTTGAGTCTTTTGATTCCTATGATTCGAGGTCAGCGATGACCGACCGCAGTCTCTATAACAGGGCTGGTTACGATTATGGTGATGTTGGAACTGATCAGAATGATTCCTTTGGAAGCCAGTATGACAACCGTCAGGCCCGCAATAGAGGAAATAACTACAATGTCATGAGAGGGAGAGCCCAGAACCGTGTCCAAAACCGGGGGCGTCTAAATGCTTTCAACCGCAACGACCACTATATGCCGTCTTCAAGTACGGAGCGACTGTCTGCCCGTTGGAATGAATTGAACTATATGGGTGGGCGGGGCATGGGTGGGCCCAGTCCCAACAGGCTACCTTCACTCTTCTCCCAAGCCCTGGTTCCTGACTATGGTGATTATGGGGACTATGGTGATTATGGGGACTATGGCGATTACGGGGATTATGGCGACTATGGTGACTACGGAGACTATGGTGATTATGACTATGGCATGATGGGAATGTCAGGAATGGGGATGGGAAGGTATGGCAACATGCCTTATGGATACGGCAGGCCACGGAACAGAGTGAGTACGATGCCCTGGCATCTCAACATGCTCATGGTAAGAATCATCAGATCAATTCTCTATATAAATGGTTGTCAGTTTGTTTTCCTTCCTTGTGTGGTTATCTTTAATAGGCAGGCTTTGCATTGTTAATCCAGGCGTAACCAAGACTAGCGGAGAAGCAGTGCTCTTAATGCCAATGCCAATGGGTTGCTTTCAGCTTTGAATAATTGAAGAGTTAGCCTGTGAAATTTGGCAGAATGTCAACAGCATGATGTACTGTTCTTTCTGTACAAACTGGATAGAGCTGCTGAGCAGGCAGGCTCCTTTCAAAATGACTATGTGGAAGGCACTTACAGTATATGGAGTCTCTTGGTACACTCATTTGCTTGATCTCTTTCTAATTAAGGAAGTCAGTCCTTTTAAACTTAAAGAGAAGGTTACAGGGACATGGAGGTCATGAGGAATTCTTTCCATTTAAATTGCTTTGGGAGCTGCAGTGTAAGGAAGCTATGGGAGCTGCAGTGGAAGACTTGGAGATGCTTTGCTGATTGATTGGTGTTACTGACTTTGCCTGATTTGTATTTCTAGCCCAAGAGGAGGGGTTTCCGCAACCGCTCAGGAGGGCGGTCGGATAGCGAAGGAGGACGTAAACGGAAACAGTCCCAAAGCGGAGATGAGCCAGACAGCAAACAGGCAAAGACTGACAGCGAAGGAGATGATACTGAGAATGGTACAGGCCTGTTTTTTGGAGACTGTCTAATAAGGCTGGTAGCAAATAGCAGTGATTCACTTTGTGCTGCTTCTCTCCAAGACTGGCACTATAGATATTGGTGGTTAGATTTTTAAACTTAACACTCTTTCATTTAAGGTGAGTGTGTCACCTATTACTGTGGTATTGCTAGAAAGTTTCTTCTGGTATGCAGGTTTTACAGCAGTGTTCTGGGGTTTCATCACAGATACCTCAATGATAGATTTAGGGTATGGACAGAGTTTGTAGCAGAAACTGCCAGACAGAATTCCATGCAAGTGATTATTTAGGGCTAGACAGTAGCATTATATTATTACTGAGTAACATATGTTAATGGGTGGGGGGAAGGAATTTTTTCCCCACGCTGGTTAAATGATCTCTCTTGTGTACAGCAGATGATGGCGAAGGAGAGGAGAAATCTGGAGATGAAGGCGACAAAGGTGTAAGTAACTTTTTCCAAAGCCTTTGCGTTGTGGAACTTTTTCCAAAGCCTTTGTGAATTTCTTTGTAGGTATCTCCTTGACTCTCTTCCTATCTGCCTTTAGTCTATGAGTCCTACCTGGGGGTAACGATGATACGAGAGTATTGTTGCTAGTATTAATACAGCTACCGCTCGTATTGTTGCTAGTGCCAATATGAGTCTCTAAACTTCTCCAGCCATATTTAATTACCTACTTCTTTTGCAAAAATTCTGGGCCACAAGAATTTCTGTTGACTGTAGTAGGAGTGCCAGAGATCATCTTTCTCCTTGAGGTGTTATGCGTAGGGACCTGCCTAAATTGCAGTGGACAGTTACAGGGCAGCAGCACTTTTAATTTTGCCTTTCTCTCACACACACACACACACACACACACACACACACACACACTCTCTCTCTCTCTCTCTCTCACACTCTCTCTCTCTCTCTCTCTCTCTCTCTCTCACACTCTCTCTCTCTCTCTCACACTCTCTCTCTCTCTGAGTGGCTGAGAGGCAATTAATGCCATGGTTTTTGCCTCTTGGCCTCTTTGTGGTGAGGGGGAGGGGGCGCATACTGAAAAGAGCAAGATTAAAGCTGCTGTTGTGCTGTGAACTTCCACCATGATTTTGGTAAGTCCCTAGCTTATGCACCAGGGATCTACTTAATTCAGGCTAAAGCAAGGGAAAATCCATTTTCATGCTGTTTTGTGGTGGTCTCCTCACCAAAGATTGGCTGAAGGGCCCTGGCAGCTGTGCACCTCATCACTGATTGGCAGAAGGGGGTGGGGCTGCATGATAGGCAGCCTTCAGCCAATCAGCAGCAAGGTGAGGGGACATCATCGTTGCTGCTACCCTTCATGGTGTGGACTGGTGCACTGTGGGCTGTGAGGCTGGGCTGCAGTGACTCTGGACCACTAGCTCCCACTGGGGAACCAACTTTATTTTCAAGGTTTCCCCCCTCCCTCCAGGTGATTTCACACCAAAATTGCAGGGATTGCCATTTTCTTGGGGTTCACAAAATTGCTTTTTTTTCTTCCCTCAGTTTCCACAAAAATCACAAATAAGGTAGATTCCTAGTCATGCATTCTGTTACCAAGGTCATTACAGTGCTATTGCTGCACAGAGGGAGTGCAGCCAACCACTAATGGCCAATAAAATAAGCTCCCAATGTCTGTCCTTGGGTCTGCTAGTGCCTCCTTGGGACCACTTTCCTTCACTAGGAAGTTCACGTTTTAACAGCCTCTGGTCAATTGTTGTTTGGTGCTGATCATCACCAATTTTTTGCCTTGCAAACTGAAGCAGCATGCTCTTAAATGTGCTGCAACGTTTGAATTTTGGCAGTGAAAGGTACTATATATGTAATGCTAAGATTCTGGAGTTCTGTATCTACATTCTAAATATTTTTAGCAAAACCATGTATAAATGTTGGTTAAATACAAGCTGTTCCCCCAAAAACCTAATAGCTTTTATTGTGCTGATTCACTCAGGCTAGTGCAGGTACAGCTGGGCTGGAGCAGCTTTGTAGTACAAGATATTGATGGCTTTTCTGTTCTCTTCTTTTGCAGGAGAATGAGGGTTGTGGTGGAGATATGGAGAAGAAAGGTAGGGTGACTTCTCTGTCTCACAGATGGACTTCTTGTAGGCTGAATGCACCCAGCTGGCCTACTTACTGTGTCAGGAATGTTCTAGTGGTCAGTTTTTCAGTTGAAGGCTGATTTTAAATTCTGATTCTTGTTCCTCGACACAAATTGTGAACAGGCCTTAGCAACTGGACAACTGTTCAGTGCTCTGCAAAGGTGCCATACTGCTGCTTGAGGTATGATGCAGCAAAAATCATGCTTTCAGCATGCTCCGGAAGCCTGCTGGGATAGTGCTGTTTGCAGAAACAGGTTGAGGGTGGGATATACATGTTGTACCTTCATGGGCAAGGCTTTCAGAATGGTTTGGTTCTGGCTTTACCAAATGGGAGTTAGACCATTGGCCTAACTACTCTGACTGAAATCAATGTTACGTGTTTCTAAAATCCCACCTCTTGCATATGCTTGTAGAAGAATTTCTGGCAAGTGGTATGATTGTAATGAGGTTAGTTAACTTCTTCTTGGCCCATTCCTCCTCTCTGTTTACAAGCAGCAAATTGAGAAGAATTGTTGCCAGCATTCCAGAAATTGCTGAACTGCCTATGCACTGCTGTGTTATCTTCCCAATAGATATCGCTGTAATGAAGGTCCCCCCATCAATGCTACATTCTCTGATTTAGATATTTCAGCTTGTTTGGAGGTGGGAGGGCTTGCCCACCACCTCCCCCTGGTTTGGTGATCTCAGATTGATGCCCACCATGACATTACTTTTGCTGTTTTCCCCTTTACCCAGAGACATGCACCAGGTCTGCTTCCTGCTTCATACCACACCTTGGAACAAGTATACATCTCTCAAATAAAGCAACCACCTATCCCCTTCCTGAACATATTGCACCCATCAATGACAGTACTCTAGTCATGTGAACTATTGCACCATATCTGTTATCCAATTACATCATACTTCTGTGATCATACCATGCTTGCCAATATTTTATGCTTCTGCCTCATGCTTTTTGAATTATTATATAAGCATCTTAGATGACTAGTTGATTGCCCTGCTGTTTTCCCTCTTGACAAGCTTGTTAAGACTCCCGATATTGCTTCCTCAAGCATATTGGAGAACCAGTACTCCAGTGGCTTCAGAAACTCCTCTGAGAGCCCAGAAAGCAATAGTGTTGCTCTGTGAGCCACCTCTTGGAATGGCACACAAGGTGCTTTCACACTCCCTCACCTGCTTTTCCACAAATCGTAGAAAATTATGGTTGGAAGGGATCTCAGGAGGTCACCTAGTCCAACCCCCTGCTCAAAGCAGGACCATCCCCAATTATATCATCCCAGCCAATGCTTTATCTAGTCACAAACCTGAAAAGCTGGAAGGAAAAAGGCAAGGGCAGGATACTTGGTGTCCTTGCACAGCACTGCTTGGACTGAAGCCATGAATCACAGAGTGCTCATATGTGCTGCTCAGCCACCCAAGGAAACCACTGCTTTTGGGGCATCGTAGCTGTGCAGGGGAATCCAGTACAGGCGTGTCAGTGCAGCACAGCTACCTCAAGGGGATTGGTGCCTTTTTAGACACCCTGAAGAGAGCCAAGTTCTGCTCTTGGTTGTTGTGTCTGTACTGCAGACACAGTAGGTGTGCCATGCTGGAGCTAACAACTTATGAATAGGCATTCTCTGCTAGGCATTTGGGCTCCAAGAGCTAGGGGCCAGAGCCTGTATCACCTGGGTGCTCATGAAGAACTGAGAAACAAGGCAAGAAATGCTGCTTTCCACCTCTTGGTAGAGAAACTCTGAAAAAACAAGTCTTAGGAGCGGCCAGAGTCCCCTGGTGCCAGAGTGGGAAGGTGGAGTGCATGCATTTCTTCCAACTAGATGTCAGCCTGAGCTGTTACAAATCCATTTTAAATCTTTCTCTGTAGCATCTGGCGATGGCGGTGAAGAGGAAGATGAAGAGGTGAAAAAGAGGAGGGAAAAACAGAGAAGAAGGGATAGAATGCGTGATCGTGCTATGGATAGGTGAGAGAATACACAGGGAACAGTAATTGGTCTATCCCCGCCCTGCCTGTTTGGCTGAAATATCCAAGGTATCTGCAGGTAGCATCACTTTGCCCAGCTGGCAGGTTTCTCTTTGTTGGGAGAGCTGAACTCTCCTGCTTGTGTTCTGCCTGGGGTTAAACATAAGTTTGGAAATCAGCATAGCATGCTCGGTATTCTGATTCAGCAAAGCTCTCTGCCCTTTATGCTTTGTAACTCCATGTAAGGAGAGGGGAAGATAGACATCCTCTAACAGTGTTTCTCAACCTGTGGGTCGTGACTCAAAAGCGGGTCACAAGAATATATGAAAGAGTCATGAACAAACTTCAAAAAAGGATTCTCCTTTAAAGGAGAAGAAAGTGGGAAACCATGGCTTTTTCCCTAGCAGGCTGGCAGAGTTCCAGTCTGCAGGGGGCTGCTGGGGTGGGGGCGGGCTCCCTCATGCTCCAGAAAAGGGGGGGGTGAGGGCCTGGGGATGAAGGGCAGGGGATGGATCAGGAGTGGGGCACTGAGTCGGGACTGGTCACTGTTTATTTACAAATGGGTCCTGGTACAAAAAAGGTTGAGAACCACTGATCTAACAGACTTCGTTAGGGAAGTAATTCATTAGAATCCTATGCTACTTAGAAGGATTTTCCATTAAAAAGCTTCAGTGTTCTAAAGAAGAAATGACTGACAAATTTACATAAATATTCTATTATCTGAGCAATTCATACAGACTAATTCATGAGTTTTCTGAGAAAATTCACCTTGTCTATTTCAATAATAGCTTAGACATTTGATCCATAAAATACACGTGCTTACTAATTAAGTAGTTGTACAGTTAGGAACTGGGAATAGTGTATTATGTCACTTGGACAGAAAATTCCCAGAATTGGAATTCTATCCGGATGCTGCAGCTAATAATCTTTAGGAGAGTCTTATACTGCTGCTAACTTGTGGTCCATTGATCTCTTTTAGAATCCAGTTTGCTTGCTCTGTGTGTAAGTTTCGCAGCTTTGAAGAAGATGAGATCCAGAAACATCTGCAGAGCAAGTTTCACAAAGAGACCTTGAGATACATTGGCACCAAACTCCCTGATAAAACAGTGGAATTCCTTCAGGTACATGATCTGCCAGCATTTCTAAAGCCCTTGTTTCATTGTATTCAGAGGTTGTAGGAGGGGACGTGGAATAATTACAGAATTCTGTTGCCTTCTGTCATGTTTCGGGGGAGTGGGGGAGGAGGCATGGAGCCAGCAGGTCTAAAAGGATTAGAGACAGACTTTGTATCCCATTCACATCTGCATGTGGTAGTGCTGGTTTGTGAGATATGGTGTTGTTTCTCTGATTCCTCATAGAGCATATGTGCATGTTACATACTTGTCTCTCTTGCATGAGTAGCCATCTGATTGGCTGGCTTAGCAGAGCAAGTGAACCATGGAGAATGACCTCCCCTCTCCTCGGCTCATGTGGTGTGCTTTAGGTGTTCATTCTACCAAAGCTGCATCCTGTCCTGGATGATTCCATGACTGTTGGCCACTTCATGAATTGTTCATTGTTCATGAACTACTGTTCACCTGGACGTTTCTAAAGAGGCAGTTGATATGGCAGCTGTCAAGTTCTTTAGTGTACCATCACCTGCGGTCTGGTTCTGGCAAATCGATTTTGGGGTTCTTCAAGGTGTGGGCATGAAAGTTTAACATGCTTATCTTCTCTTCTAGCTACCCAGTAGTAGTCCTTCCTTCTCCTTGCACGTTTCCTTCGGAGATCTCATTTCCCATTTGAATACTGGGCAGTAGATTGTGTTGTTTGCTGATACCGGTGTAAAGGATGGTGAGCTTCATTCTCTCTTCCTGTCCCTTCCTCTCAGGAGTATATTGTGAACAGGAATAAGAAAATTGAGAAGCGCCGTCAGGAGCTGACTGAGAAGGAGGGCACAAAACAGAAACCAGACCCTTTCAAGGGTAAGTTGTAGGTCCCTGTGTGTTTGGAGACCGAAAATGGGGAATGCTAAAAGATGCAGGGGTTGAATTCATAGATGTAGGGTCGGAAGGGACCTAAGTAGATCTTCAAGTCCAACCCCCTGCCCTGGGCAGGAGAAAATACTGGGCTCCCCCCTCTGGTTTGAAGCATCATTCCTGATCCCCAAACAGCTAGGTAACTATCCAGCCTCCTCTTAAAGACCCCCACGGTAGGAGCCAGCACCACTTCCCTTGGAAGTTGGTTCCAGATCCTAGCCACCCTGACTGTGAAGTAGTGCCTTCTAATGTCCATCCGGAACCTACTCTCAAACAGTTTATGGCCGTTATTCCTTGTTACTCCGGGAGGTGCTCGGGGGAACAGGATCTCTCCCATTCCCCGCTGGTCCCCCATGGTAAGTTTATAGACAGCCACCAGGTCCCCTTTCAGCCTTCTCTTGTGGAGGCTGAACAGGTTCAGGTCCCGTAGCCTTTTGTAGGGTCTGCCCTGCTGTCCCCGGATCATGTGAGTGGCCCTCCTCTGGACCCTCTTGATGCTGGCCACATCCCTCCTGAAATGTGGTGCCCAGAACTGGACGCAGTACTCCCAACTGTAGCCTGACCAGCATCGCATAGAGGGGGAGGAATTCTTGGGAGAGCTTCACAGTGTCGGGGTGGAGGGAGCAATGTTAACATGACTCCAGCCTGTTACGTGGCAGAACATTTTTCTAGCTAATAAGCAGCGGCTTTGATCACTGACTGACGTGTTGGCATCATTTCAGGTATTGGCCAGGAACACTTCTTCAAGAAGATTGAGGCAGCTCACTGTATGGCCTGTGACATGCTGATTCCTGCACAGAACCATCTTCTCCAGAGACACCTGAGGTCTGCTGACCATAACAGGAACCGCAGGGTAAGCAAATATGTGCTTCATCTCCATTCTAGGTGGTACAAAGGGATTTAATCTTTAAGGTTGAAGATTCTAGTAAGGAGCACTTGTCTAGAACTGAGGATTTCTTGCCACTTCAGGCACTTGCCTGGAGGAATGACCCACTTGCTTCCAGCCATTGGGAGCAGCCCTTCTAATCCACTTTCTTCTGTGGTTCTGAAGCAGTGGTTCCCCAGGGCTGTGGAAGGATCATGGAACAGAGTATGAGTTTCGTTCTCATGCAGGGAAGGTCCGTTAGCAGCTAAAGTCCTTGCGTGGTGTGAAGTGAACAGGAGCAGTTGAAAGCAAGACTAAATGTGGGAACTGAAGCCCTCGAGGCAGGTCTTTTGGGGATCAGGAATGACGCTTCAAACCAGAGGGGGGAGGGAAGGGGTTGGATGGGTTCTGGGAGTGTCAGGCCAGAAGAGACATTTTAGACTTTGGTTGTCTGTAATAACATAAGCTATCAAACCTTGGAGAAACTGTCTGTGGCAGGGTTCTGGGGCTCTGCCTTCCTGTTCCACTGGGCTTGGACTGCTCTGGAATATGGCATAAACCAGGGGTAGCAACTCCCAGCAATTATGCCAGAACTGGCATGTGAAGGCATTTTGCTTGCCACATGCCTCAGGGTGGACAGCTGGGAAGCTGCAAGGGGCCTTATTCTTGTTGTGGTAGTGCAGCCCTGGCCCCTTTCCTGCTGCCCACTTCGAGGTGCACGTGCATCTGCCATCAGCAGCGAACTTGGCCAGGACTCCATGGACCCCAGTGCAGCTGCTTGTAGCCTCCCTGCCGCCTGCTATGAGCAGCTTTGTGGTGAGTCTGCATACCTTGGGGCAGACAGCAAGGAAGGGCTGGGACTGCGCTGCCCCAACAAGGATTCAGCCCCTCATGGCTTCTCTGCTGTCTGACCCTGGCATGAAGTCAAGGTTGCAGGTGTTCTTGGCACTCTGCCAAAAAAACATTGCAGAACTTGGGGATAAAACTTCTTGTCTGAAGCTGCACTATCTTTTAGAGCTCTTGCTTAAGAAAAGCTTCGAAAATCTTTTTGAAGCATTTAGCAGGTACAGTGAATTCCAATGCAAGTTGTCATCCTGGGTGAGTGTTCACTCAGGTGGAGTTGAGAGAGAGTGGGCCTTGTAACAGTCCTCAGCCCTAGTGCAAAGGAACACTGTATGATGACTCTGCAGTCCTTTCTTCCTTTGTGTATTGAGTGCAGCTCTTGGGCACCCAGGTGCTGCTGTTCACATCTGCTAGGGTAAACTGAGCTTCTTCTGAAACCAAAATACCCTGGACGCTTCTGCTGTCTGTTTCATGTTACTTCCTGTTCTCCATGGCTCTGCTGCTGTTGCTGCTAGGCACAGTATACATGGTCACTTGGTTCTAGCCTACCTGCTGAGGTTCTCACCATTGGGTAGTGGTGCCCTTTGCAGAGTTAAAATCCTCCTTGCACAGTGTTGTTCCATATTTAGTTTTCCAAGTCCTTACTTGTCTCTGGTTTTAGCACTGGGTGTTTCTGGGGCTTGTAGATAATCTCACTAAACATGGGGTTCTGTGCTGGGTAGTTGGGCTCTGAGATGTGTGGGCTGTTGCTTCTCAATGCATGTACAGATTGAGGGCAGGGCCTGGGTTCAAGCAGAACTGAAAGTGGAGGGTGGAAGTGTCCTGAAGCCTCTTGGGGGTTAGCTGTAATGGTTGGCAGCCCAGCAAAAGCTGTTCTACTGTCTTCTCCCCTGAAAGGAAGTGTCCTTGGGATTCAAGAGGCATGCAAGCATGATGCTTTTCCCTGGGTCACTCCATGAGCTGTCTTTTCCCACCACTCATGCATGTGGCACCCAGGCCAGCTAAGTGTCCAGATAGAGTTTCCTCCCAGGCTTACATTGTCAGAAGTGAACATGGGGGTATTCCCTTGTCCTAGGACCTAAACATCCTTCCCCTTAGCTTAACTGTCAACACAGAATAGAGCTTGAATCTGGGAGTGAGTTCTGAAGGTGTGCCTAAACAAGGAAGATGCTTGTATCTTGTGACAGGCCCCCTGCACTTATTTCACAGCTTGATCAGCACAGTAACCTCAGTATGGTTCCTTTTTTCAGATGGCAGCTGAGCAGTTCAAGAAAACTAGTCTCCATGTTGCCAAGAGCGTCCTAAATAACAAGCACATTGTAAAAATGCTGGAGAAGTATCTCAAGGTGAGTGAGCGGGCAGGCCCCCAGCTAGTCCTGGCATCCCTGGAGCAGTGGGGACAGACTTCGACTTGGTCCCGGACATTGGCCTGGTACAGAGCACCGAGCTGAGTATCACTGTGTGTGCTGCACGTTGGTCACGAAACACTTCTACGTATATTGGGCAGAAGCGTAGATGCCGCTTCACTTTCTTCCGTGTAGGCCGAGTCGGGTCTGGATCCTTTATTCTCTTTTTAGGCAGTTTATCTCTCTCTCTGTATTGTTTTAACTTGCAGCCCCAGGCACACCTAAATCAGTTATGAACCTTCCAAGCCGATCATAGCTGCAGGGACAAACTGGCAGAAGGAACTCCAGTGCCCATATCCACCCCTCAAGCAATGGCCCGTGGGTGAAGCTCACCCCAATGCAAAGGGCAAACATAAGGCCTAGGAGGCAGTTCAATCCCATGGGGTCTAGGCACTGCTGCCCCTCAGCATAGGGATGCTTTTGACCCTATGCGAACAGGTAGGCTCTGCAGCTTTCCCAGCAGGTCAGCACACCAGCAGGGGACTCCAGTTCCAGAGTGGAAAGATGCTCCCTCTACCCCTCTCCTCTTCCCTCAATCCAAGCTGGGACCCCAGCCAGTCTTCCCTGTTGGGATGGAGCAGGTGGAGTGTCGGGGCCCATACAGGTAGGGCCCTGTAGACCAAAACAAGTACTTTGAATTGCACTCCAAAAGAAGCTGGAAGTCAGCACAGTCTTCAGAGCGTGGGTACGGTATGTTCCATGCAGAAGTGCCGCTGAGTAAGTGGGCAGTCACCTCCTGCCCACGTGTTTCCAAGTGGCCTTCGAAGGTATGTCCATGTAGATCTCATTGCAGTAATGCAATCTGGAGGTGACATGGGCGTGGGTAACTGTCGAGGTCCATCTGAAAGGAAAGGTCGCAACCTCCTTGCCAGGTGAAGATGAAGAGAAGCATTTTGGCTACTGCTGCTCCTTGGGAGTCCAGGAGCAGCCAAGGATCCAGCAGGACCCCTGATTGCGCACTTGGCTGACAGGGCAAGCAAACCCCCTCACATGGGGGGAGCAGATGTTTCCCCTGGCCCACCGGCATCACTTTGGTCTTATCTGGATTGAGCCTCTGCCAGCGAGCTCTCATCCAAGCCCCAGTCTCTGCTAGACACTAGCAAAACTGAGACTCCACCCTCTGGGTCCAGTAAAAGAGACTTTGAGCTGAGAGTTATCAGCACATGATGGCACTGCAGCCCCAAAAGGGAGGCTGCCTCCCCATGCGGCCTCTCATACACGTTGAACACGAGGGTGACAAACCCTGCGGTACCCCACCCGAGAGAGCCCTCGGGGCAGATGAGCAATTTGCCCAGTGCTACCCTCTGGGATCTCTCAGAGGAAAGAACGGAACCACTCAAGTGCAACTCCGTCTACCCCTGCCAGGGTCCGCAGGCACGTCAACGCCACCTCATGGCCAACTGTATCAGAGGCTGCCGGCAGATCTAAATGATTCGGCATGGGCACCTGACCTTTGTCCACCGGCAGGAGGAGATCTTCGACCCATCCCAGCACGGTCTCCGTACCATACCCAGGTGCAAAACCAGACTGAAAGGGGTGGAGGAAATCTGAGGATTCCAGGTAATGCCAGAGCTGCCTCACCAAAACCTTCTCAGCAACCTTCCCCAAGACAGGAAGGCTGGAGACAGGGTGATAATTGACAAGACTGTCAGCATCAAGAGATATTTTCTTGAACATGGGCCTAATGATTCCTCCTCTGAGGGATGCTGGCACCTTGCCCTTCCAGAGGGAGGCCATGACAGTCTCCACCAATAGTGGATTCCATGTCCCCCTGTAGATTTTACCAGCGATAATGGACGTGGGTCCAGATCGCAGGGTGTAGCCTGAAGTTCCCCCAACACCTCTAAGACCCCCTCACTAAGACTGGCTGGCTGAAATTCAGCCAGGGAAGAAAACATTATGTTTGTCCTCCACTTGCATGGATTTGCTCACGTGGGGGCAGCCAATCTGGTCTGAATCTGATCGACCTGGTCCCTGGAGCAGAAAACTCACAAGACACATTTAGCTATTGCTAAGCGGAGACAGCCTGGGTCTGCTAGGCCGTCCGCTACCCAGCACGGTTCCATTCGTTAGGACTTCAGTTGCTGTGGTGGAGCCAGAGAATGTGCACTCCTGGCCTCCATTGCAGCCTTGGCATGAGAGTTCAGAAACTTAGTTGTGCTCGATCAGATTCTGGGCAAGGTTTCTGCCACTGGCATGCTACCCTCCCCCCTTCACATTTCATCTTTTGCAGGCTATCTGCACACCAAGGTGACCGGTGAGGAAGGGAAAGGGAGTTTAGGAGTCAACATGCTATAATCCAGAACAAACCATGGCCGCAATATCCGGCAGGGCCGATGCTAAAGTGGTCCATCCCCTGGCTGCACGATAATCACCCTCAGATAACTGAAACCCAACCAAAGCCAAATAATAAAATAGGGGCGCTGCCCAAGCAGGAGCAGACAGAGGTGAGCACTGATCTCAGCCTAAGGCCAGCAAGGCCATCCTTGGTCTAGGGCATAAACCAAATTAGTCTCAGTGCAGGAAAGTTAGAGTAAGAGCTCCTCACTGAGACGACTATGGCTGTGTATAGCTGAGATGCTGTTAGTGAGACCAGAAAATCACCTGGATTTCTTGGTTCCCAGAGCAGGGACACTGAAAACTTCCAGCTGGACCTGGACCTCTCCGGGGAAAGAGTCCTTTGCCTTTTGGGCTGTGTGCTCAAGTGGGGTTGGACGGGCACTTGTAATTGCTTTTTGCAAGATGAGTTCCTTTCAGTTGAGACTACAGCCTCCCTGATTTGGCTAGGCATTGCAGCACACACAGTTCTGAGTAGGGCTTCACCTGGGTCACCGCTCGCTGGACAGGTTGCAGGCCAAGTCATTCCATTCCTGCAGGACAGGTTTTCCCAGCAGGACTTGGGGCCTCAACAAGCACTTTCCTTAGGGGGCTTTCCATGTAACATTATAGAGCGCACTATTTCTGTAGGAGTATGGGGGCTTGATCTGATGGATTTTCACCGCTCTGTCCTGAAGTTGAGGATCTTCCATTTCCGATCAACCTCAGTTGCAAACCTCTGAATTTCATGTCTGAGGTTCCCTATAGGAGGAGTTTTTTAACTGCCTGCAGGTGTGTAACACCTTGTTCTTCCCTTCTCTTTGCCAGGGTGAAGATCCATTCACAGACGAAATTGCTGACCAAGATGTTGATGAAGCAGAAGCTTTGGAAGGAGGAGGCGATGGTGGTGGTGAAGGGGCTAATGAAAGCGCTACTGTAGAGGCTGCCCAGGCAAAGGAGGAAGGCACTGGGGATGCAACACAAGCCACGGAAGCCACTGAAGCCACTAGTGCAGAAGGGGAAGAAACAGAAAAGGTTTCTGAGGAGATGTCTGGAAATGAGGAATTGTCTAAAAATGAGGGAGAAGAGATGGAGCAACTGCCACAAGAGGAAGCGGAAGCAGGAACAGCAGCTGGAGCCGAAGTAGCAGCAGGGGATGGGGTGGTGGCACTGGAGGGATCAGAAGAAGCAGAAGTAGTAGAAGCAGCTTCAGAAGAACCATCTCAGTCTCAAGAAAGCGTAGAGGAGCCAGTGATTTCCTTTGGAGGTGATGCTGAGATTCAACAAGCTGAGGAAGTGGAGGAGGAGAAGGAGCAACCAAGTGAGGCAGCAGCGGCCAGCAGCGCTGAGGCTGAGGTAGAGGCACTGCCTGAAGAGGAGGAGCCGCAGCAGGAGTAGCCGTGCGGATGTGTGTGTGGAGGTGACTTGTCCTGCACAAATGTATAATCTCTGGTTTTTAATTTCCCCTCCCCATCCCACCCCCCATCTTATTTGAATGCAGTCCCTGAATGTGCATTGCCAGAAGTGTGGCTGGTTTTTGTTTCTGTTTAAGGGGAGGGACCCGGCTGTTCTGTGATGGGAACAGCCTTGTGCTTAACTGTCTTGTTCTGTAGACTTGCTTAGTTCTGCTTTCTACATAACTTTTTTTTTTAGGTTGAAGACTGCAGGAAGCTGTACATTCCCCAAGAAACTTGAGAGGCATCACCTTTTTTGAATTTTAGAATGAAGAGCAGGGTTTGCAAAATAAAAACATCATTAGATCCTGACAGCTGTTTGGTTTTTAAGTGCAGCAGTCAAGCTGTGTTGTTTTCTTGTGCGACAGAGACTTAACTGATCTGTTTCCAACCTAAGCACCTCAGGCATCTCGAATTCCTTCAGGGACTATTTACTTGTTGAAATGCTCCTTACAAAGGGGAGACTTTTTTGTCACAGGATCTGTTGGCTTCATTCATCCAGGCTCCAGTACTGCATGAGAATTAGGGTCTAGCTTTTTGTTGTTAAGCACCAACTTGTTTACATCTAGAAATCAGGTCACTTTTCACATAGGGCACCCATGTGGAGGCAACTTTGAGGGAAAACCTTGCATCTCCAGTCAAACCTATTTCTTTGTCCTTGAAGAAATTTTATTGAGGTCTCAACAGTCTCACAATCCAAAATCAATTGCCAAATGCTGTCACAGGATTAATGAAACAGTACCAAGATCAGCAAATAAGAGCTGCTGACCTGTTGTTAAGTGTTATTATCTATGCTTGTGGTATAAAGTGTTTTAAGTCTGATATAGATCCTCTACCATTTTGGATAAACCCAGAGTTCTTGGTCTTAAAGTTTAAATAAACTTCTCAATCTGGAAAAAAACAATCTCCAGTTGTAATTTGAATTGCAAGCTGCCAGCTCTGCTTGTGGATCTGTGGTGCTGGGATGGGAATGCATACTTCTTGACAGACTGACAGCAGATGTTGTTCACATGTCTCCTCTGCTTTGGGAAGCTGTTTCTGCCTCTGATCGCTGGAACAGTACGCTTCGTAACACCAGTTCTACCTGGGAAGGGGAAGTGATCAAATGTGGGCAGTTGAGTTTAGCTGTTACCACATTTTCTCCTTCTCTCTCCTGAAATCCCTGGAACCCAAGATCTGAGGAGTAACAGCCTCCCAGTCACTCTGCATCAAGAAGCTAAAGCAGCCATGCCCGCCCATAATGGCCATACCCTAGGAAACGGCCTACTGCCTGCACCTCCTGCCAGCAGTTGGCTTGTGCAGTCTCTACTCAGGTTGGCCACATGTTGGTTAAACCTCATAGTTGACTGTAGCAAATTGTAAGGCTGTGCTGCAAGGCCTGCACAATATTCAGCATCACACTAGCTGGGCCTGAGTGTTTGGACAGACACAAGCCTGGCTGTGTAGATAGAGGCTGTCTTGGTGGAAGAGTGGCCTTGCACTCATATTCCCTTTCCACTGGGCTGCAAATTACTGCTGCAGCATATTTGCATGTTAGAGAGCCTGAATATTAATACAGACAGTTTCTGTCCCCAAACTTGAAGTGCTTTCAGGGAAACTCAAATCAGAGGAGGTATGTAAATGCATCTGCTGCCAGTGAGGTAACCAAGCTTCTTTTCAGATGCTGGAAGAAACGTGCTGTGTCCTCTGAGAAGGGTCATGTCTGGTTTGCTCTGCCAGTCCTCGCAGCCTACGTTTCCCTTCAGTTTCCCAGCGCACCCTGAAGTGAGACACCGCACAGGTGGGAAGTTTAGATTTGTAAATGTTCAACTGTGAGGCAGGCACCCATTCTTGGCCAGAGATGTGGGCATCCTCCTCCTCATGTGCAGCCTGTAAATCAAGATTGGGTGTGCCTTCTGGAAGAGGTGCTGTAGTTCAGCTGTGGGTTCCATGGGTCTGACCCAGTTGGGGGCTCCAGCCAGTGGAGTCATAATGATGTTCTTTCCAGGGTTTCTTGCAGTAGTCCCGCTGCTGTCACTAAGCGCAAAGCTTTGATTTTTCACTGCTCGCAGGAACTAATGGTGATGGCCACGTGGCTGGATTCCAAGCCCACTACACTCAGTGGTGTGCATGGTCTAAATGGCAGGAACTGGGGGGCTGCAGCCTGTATCACAGTAGAAAGTCGCCACGAACTGTGGGGCTGCAGCCTGTATCACAGTAGAAAGTCTGTCAGCTTCTGAGTCAAAATGCAAAGGAGGCTGCTACTTAAACTACAGGAGCCCTGGCTCTGAGCTTGAGAGGTTGTGACCCCCCAACACCCTCACCCTAGGACAGCAGTGGCAGGCAGGTGGGAAGCCTGTGCTACAAGGGGTCCAGGGCAGGGAGATGGACTTGACTACAACTCCTTTCCGTTAGGTGGCAGTGTTCACCTGCAGCGCAGTGCAACACTGCTGCAGCCTCTTTCCTGACCCCTCACGGAGCTGCAGACTGGTTTGAGTTGGGTTGGAGCCAAGGAGCATGTGAGAAGGCAGGTTAGTTTGTTAATATCTTCTATTGGACCAACTGTACAACTGGAAGAGGGGTTAGATAAGCTTGGGGCACCAAGTGCCTCCCTCTGGTCTGGGGAAGAAGCAGGAGCAGTCTAAGCTACAGCCCAGCTCAAACAGTGGCTTGAGTTTAACTGCATGAAGCAGGAGCTAAGAGGAGCGGACAAGGGCTGCAAACAAACAGCGAAGAAGCTGCTTCAGAGTAGGAGAAATGCATGTTTGATTCAGTATCTCAGCTTGTTTCTCTTGCTTTGCCCCTAGTTTGCAGCCTTCCTTTGCTCCTTTTAATGCCTGCTTTCTTTCATAGTTTCATAGATGTAGGGTCAGAAGGGAACCAAGTAGATCATCAACTCTGACCCCCTGCCCTGGCCAGGAATGAATACTGGGCTCATATGACCCCTGGTAGGTTTGAGCTTATATGACCCCAGCTAGGTAATTAACAAGCCTCCTCTTAAAGACCCCCAGGGTAGGAGCCAGCACCACTTCCCTTGGAAGTTGGTTCCAGATCCTAGCTGCCCTAACTGAAGTAATGCCTTCTAATGTCCAGCCTGAACATACTCGCAAACAACTTAACAGCTGTTATTCCTTGTTACTCTGGGAGGTGCTCAGGGGAACAGGGTTTCTCCCATTCCCCGCTGCGCCGTGCCCCCCCCGGGTAAGTTTTTATAGATGGCCACTAGGTCCCCTCTCAGCCTTCTCTTGTGAAGGCTGAACAGGTTCAGGTCCCATAGCCTCTCATAGGGTCTGCCCTGCTGTCCCCAGATCATGTGAGTGGCCCTCCTCTGGACCCTCTCGATGCTGGCCACATCCCTCCTAAAGTGCAACGCCCAGAACTAGATGCAGTACTCCAGCTGTGGCCTACCCAGTGTCGCATAGGGGGGGAGGATCACCTTAGCCCTGCTTGTGATGCATCTGGATGCATGACAAGGTGCAGTTAGCTTTACTGACTGCATTCCCACACTGTTGTCCCATGCTCATTTTGGAATTGATAATGACTCCAAGATCTCTTTTTGTCACTGCTTATGAGAAGAGAGTTCTCCAGCCTATAACTTTCTTCCTTCATTGCTGAGGGCAGGCCTACATGGTGCACTGAGGAGGCTGGGGTCGGTCAAGGGTTGGGGATAGCCTAATGTCTGATTTCTTCCTGGTCTTAGTGAGTGAGAAGACTGCCCCTGCTTCCAAGGCTGAGAGCCCCAGTAAGGCCTGAGGATCTCCCACCCCAACATGGAGTTTGCTTCCTGCTTT